GAGAAGGGTGGCGATATGAGTACTTTTTCCTCCTCCCATGATAACTCCCCGCCTCGGATGTCAGCGACGACTGGCAGAGGGGGCGATCCGAGGAGCTCAGGCTCCGCATCGACGATACATCGGCGATGAAACGGCGATGCATCGGCGATGCATCGTCAACGTCGGCGATGCACTGGCGACGTCGACTTGAATCATCACAGCATCCACATCGAGCCGCATCGCCGATGCATCGCCGATGCGAAGCGATCCTTCGAAGTCATCTACTCGGACGTCATTTGGGAGGACTCTGAGGAAGAGGTACCCGTACAGTCCAGTTTGATCAATAGGTCGATCCTGCCAAATCAAGGACACCGTTGTGTCCTGTGCTTCGCGGCCCATGCCTTCTACATTCCTATGGCAACGTGGCCCGTGGATTCGGACTGGACAGAAGGCCTATGTTCCTCTTCTGGACGCCCCAAATGAGTACGGAAAAATTGGTACGACGCCCAACAGCAAATGTTGTCGAACACCGACATCGGTCGCTGCTCGGTAGGCGACCTTCTGTCTCAAATGGGCAACGCCCGCGGCGACACCAACCGCGAGGCCTGCTCGAAGTGGGCAGGAAGTGCTGTCGGTCTTCGTGCCGATTCTTTCGTTATCCATTTCGTTCGTGCCGAGGCCAGATTCCCAAGGGTATGATCTGTTCCATCCCGGCGTTTTCGATTTCGGCCGCTGCGGGCCGGTTTCGGACCCCAGAGAGATCATAAAAGGATCCGCGACGAAAAACTATCCGTATCCACTTCGCTCGTCGGGGGCCCCCAAACGGTGTGGTAACCACACCGTTTGGTGATCCGGTGGGAATTGGGAAACACCGCACGGTTTTGGGACTTGGGTCGTTCTCCAAGGACGTCTCGGGAAAATGGTGCCTCCAGTCCCAAAACCGTCTGGTGGCGGACGCTGCGGTGAGTCCTTTGCGGATTTCGATGTCACCGCGAGGTCGGTCACCACACGGGCTTTGGACCCGCAAGATCTCACCAAACAGAATCGGCGGCGAGCCCAGGGGGGAAGTGAGACGGAGAAGGCCTTCTGAGAAGGTTCGAAAGTCCCCCGGCCTTCTGAGAAGTCTTCTAAACGTCCCCCGAAGACGCAGAGAACTTCTCACAAGGCGCGAGGGCTTCTGAGAAGTCCCGCCGCCTTCTGAGAAGGCCATCTACTTCTCACCTCCCCCACTCGCTCGCCTCCGTCGGGGGGGGGGAGAAGAAAGGTGCACTTCTCGGGCTCTGGAGGCCCCCTGTGGGGCCCTGGGCCCCAACGGGCCCCTCTTCTGCAGCACTCGTTGCCCCCTAATTATGTACAATAGGAGCTCGACCACAAAAAAACCTTCCACAAGAAGCCTAAACCAGAGACCCCTGGGAACGTCACGTTTTCCACAGCACAACCATCGAGACCCAAGAAAGCCAGGGCACCCTGGAGGCAAGCCGGGCGTTTCTTGGCACGGGCTTCCGCCGTAGATTGGGCTCCCGCCCGCCACCTACAGATGAAGGACACGGGGAGCCCACTCGACCACTGAAGCAGGGAGGCGCCCAAAGAAGACTGGAAGCAGAGGGTCCAGCAATGCCCACTTTCAACGACCGACGAGTACTCCAGATTTCGTAATAAAAGGGAGGGGGTCTGGACCCTCCAAGACAAGCCATTTCAGACCCCCCCCGTGGGAGAACCCTCCAAAACATCGTCCCCAGACCCCCCCAGGCCCTCCAAGATAGCCTGGAAGAGACCCCCCCCGAAATGAGACCCCCCTCCCTTTATTACGAAATCTGGAGTAATGGATGCGTGGAACGGGGGAATGGGCTTCCACTGCATCGCCCTCCCTTGACGCGACGCCCAATCCGCCCCCCGCGCCCGCGCCCCCAGGCAGCGCCGCGCGCGCCGGTGGCCGCGGGGTCCACTGCGAGGGGGCCGCTGGGGCCGCCCGCCGGTGCCGCCCGCGCACGCGGCGCACTGGTCGGGCCCGCACGCCTCGGGCGCGGGGGGCGCGGCGCGGCGGCTTGCTGCCAGCGACGGGGGGCTCGGGCGAGCGTCGTTCATCGGCGGCGCGCAGAGGGGGGCGGGGGGGAAGTCCGGCATGTCCTCCTACAGGCAGGTGTTGGAGGACATATCAAAATCCGCCGACCCTGTCGGCGTGTGGAAGAGGCTGTTCCGTTTGACTCGTCGTCGTCGTCGTGGTCGTTGTCGTCGTCGTCGTCGCCTTCGCCGCTCGCTCTTTTCCCCAGGCCCGTCGCCGTTCCCCCCACTTTCACCGGGTTCTCCTCCTCGAGCGCGCCAGCCACAGCGAAATTGGGCAACGTTGTAGTTGAGTCGAAGGGAAGCCCCTTCCCTTTGATCCCGTCCCCGCCGGGGGGGGGGGGGCCCGTGGGTGAGGTCCCGGGGGGTCCCCGGGGGGAGGGGTCCCGGGGAGGTCCCGGGGCAGATACGACTCCCCCTCGGGCGGTTGGGAGGCCAAGAGAAGCCGCAAGATGCGGCAAAACTGCCCCAAGATGCCCCCAAGACGGTCCTCGAGGGCACTGAATCGCCGAAGTATCGGTGCAAATCGCCCAAAGTAGCCTCCAGACGGCTCAAAAGGTTTCCAAAACGCCCCAAGAGGCCTCCAAGAGGACTTCCAGGAGGGTCCCAAGGGGCAAAAATCATCGAGTTCCCGTACATGTTGTAAAAATTTCGGTATTCTCGCCTTGTCAGCTTCCCGACGCTCCAAGACATGCCAAGAAGCCCCCAAGACCGCCCCAAGATGGCCCAAGAGGCCTCCAAGAGAGCCCCAAGACGACCCAAGAGGGCCCCAAGACCGACCAAGAGGCCTCCCAGACAGCCGAAGAGGCCCCCAAGACGGCTCCAAGGAGGAGCCCAGACGTGGGACCCGAACGGACATTTCGAGCCCTCGGCCTGAGAAGCTCTCAGGAGGCCCCCAGAGGTCAGAAGCCCCAAGAAGACCCCTGGAGACCCCCAGGAAGCCCCAAGAGGCCCCCACGAGGCTTCCAAGCGGCCCCCAAAAGCTTCCCAAGAGGCCCCAAAACTACCCGCAAGAAGCCCCCGAGAGCGCTCGTCGTCGTCGTCGCCATTCAGGGTCGGCGGCACCGGCCGTAGGGCCTTCGCAATAGTCCAAAAACCTTCAAAATAATCAAAAATAATAGGCTAGGAAAATCGTCCCCGGACCATTGTTTAAACGATTTTTCAATATTCCTCCTGAGTAGGGGGAGGAGGGAAGGCTTCTTAGAAGGAGGCCGCCTCTTAGAAGGCGCCAGCCCTACATCTACAGGCAAGGCCGGCGCCTTTCAAGAGGCAGGGGTGCTTCTGAGATGCCTTCCCCCCTCCCCCTCCCTACTCCCATCTGCGCGTGGCCGAGTTGAACCGACCCCAGGGAGGATCGGGGATCCACTGACCTGGGTCACTGCAAACCTGGGTCAATCAGGCTGCGCAAGATCCCGCAAGATCCTGCAGGATCCTGCAGGATCCCGCGCCCTAACCTGGGTCAATGCGCCCCTGGCTTTGCAGGATCCTGCAAGATCTGGCGCTCTGGCTGACCCCCGATTGCATTGACCCCCGTCCCGAGGCTTCAAGACCGTCCCAAGACGGCTTCAAGACGGCCCCAGAGCGCCCAAAGACCCCTCCCAGGCCCCGACCCATAGTTAGCAAACAATGGTCCGCTTGCGTAAGTACGAGTACTCAAGACATGGCGCCCTTTGTTGCTAACCATTCGTTGCAAACTATATCATAAACAGCATCATCCTCATCCTCCTCATCATCATCATCATCATCATCATCAACATCAGCATCATCATCATCAGCATCATCATCATCAGCATCAGCATCAGCATCAGCAGCATCAGCAGCATCATCATCATCAGCATCATCATCATTATCCTCATCATCATCAACATCGTCATCATCGTCATCATCGGCGACCTCATCGCCATTGCAATCAGCTATACCAACAGCAATCAGAACAACAATAACAAGAACGCCAATATCAACAGCAGCATCATCAGCATTATCAGCAGCATCATCATCACCAGCACCATCAACATCATCAACATCCACATCATCAGCTGCATCGTCATCATCATCATCATCATCATCATCATCATCATCATCATATGCATCATCATCATCATCATCATCATCAGCATCATCATCATCAACATCATCATCATCAGCATAGTCATCGTCAGCATCATTATCAACACCAGCAGCTATATCATCATCAACATTATCATCATCGTCATCAGCGTCATCATCATCGTCATCATACGCATCCGCGTCAGCATCCTCATACTCATTGCGTCTCTCCCACCCTCAAATGGTCGTCACCCAGAATGATTGGCTGGCACAGTGGCGGGACTTACCACTGTATAGGCTGGCGATCGATGAGGAAGTAAGTCGGAGGACGAGGGTGAGCCGTAAGAGGAAGACGAGGTGGAGGATGGTGATGAAGAGAGGTGGCACAGGGAAGAGGAGCCTGAAGATCGACGACAAGGAAGCGGAGTAGGTTGAGGAGGAGGCGCGCTGCGTGCCTCGCGGGGGGGAGCGAGCGGGGAGGCGGAATGAGTGAGCAAGGCGGGAGGAGGGGTGGCTCTGGAAGGGGGAGGGAGAAGGAGATGCGCCCTGACCAAGATGTCGATGCGGACCCAGCCGTGGCGACGCAGGCCCCCGCAGAGGACCCACAGGACAAGACCGCCAGATCTCTCCATCAGCTCTCCTAGCTATCCGTCCTCATTCCCCTCCACCTCCTCTTCCTCCTCCTCCTCCTCCTCCTCCTGCTCCTTCTCATCCTCCAACCCCCCTCCTCCTCCGCCTCCTCCTCCTCGCTCAACTCCTCCTTCGACTTCCCCTCTGTCCACCTGCCTCCTCCTCCTCCTCCAACTTTCCTCATCTTGCCTCCGACAACGGGGAACCCATGAGGTCTGGACCTATTCTTTGGGACTGGCTCCTCATTTGACACTCCGATCCCTGGGCCGCCTCGCGGTCAAGCGCTAGGCAGACCGTGGTCTCGAGCGCCACGCGGTCCAGCAACGCGTCCACCGAATCGACCTTGTTCTGACCTCTGCCGTGCAGTCGACGGCATCGTCGCGTCATCGTTCTACTCCTCCTCCTCCTCCTCCTCCTCCTCCTCCTCCTCCTCCTCCTCGTCCCTCGCCTTCGTTCCCCTCCTCCTCCTCCTCCTCCTCCTCCTCCTGATCATCCTCCTCCTGATCCTGCATGCCCTCATCCTCAAGATCCGCCTACCCATCATCATCACCATCACCATTACCATCATCATCGTCAGCGCCAGTGTCGTCATCATCATCAGGATCAGCATCATCATCATCATCAACAGCATCAGTATCATCATCATCATCATCATCATCATCATCATCATCATCAGCAGCAGCAGCAGCAGCAGCAGCAGCAGCATCAACATCAGCATCATCATCAGCATCATCATACTGACCATCATAATTATCATCATACGTATCAGCAGAAGCAGCATAATCGTCGTCATCGTCGTCGTCGTCATCATCATCATCATCATCAGCATCATCATCATGAGCATCGTCATCACCATCATCAGCAGCATCAGCATCATCAGCATCATCAGCAGCAGCATCTCCATTATCACCATCATATCGTCAGCATCAGCACCATCATCGTCATAATCATCCTCATGGTCAGCATCGTAATCGCCATCATCATCATCAGCATCAGCAGCAGCAGCCTCATATGCATCGACAACATCATCATCAACATCATCAGCAGCAGCATAATCGTCATCATCAGTATCATCATGATAGTCAGCATAACCATCATCCTCATCCTCATCATCAGCCTCAGTATCATCACACTCATCAACACCATCATCGACATCATCCTCATCCTCATTTCAGCATCATCAGCATCAGCAGCATCCTCATCATCCTCATCAGCAGCAACGTCATCAACATCATCATAACCATCATCAGCATGATCACCAGCACCTTCATCAACATCATCATCCTCCGTATCAACATCATCATAATAATCACCATCATCAGCATCTTCATCATTAGCATCATCATCAACATCATCATCGAAATTATCATCCATCGTCAACAGATTCATCATTCCTAACATTACTCGGCTCTTCCATCTTCATCGTCCTCAAGGTCCTCCTCCTCCAGTGTCCCCTCCTCACCTTCGGCCTCCTCCTGCTGGTTCCTCCTCCTCCTCCTCCTCCTGACCCTCCCTCCTGTTCATCCCCCTCGCCATTCCTCATCCTGTTCCCCCCCTCCACACTCTATCCTGGCTCCCACCCTCCCCATCCGCCGGTCCCGGGCCACCCGCCGAGAGCCTCCGCGCCAAGCGGAGGAGAGGAGCGAGAGGAAGAAGGAGAGAAAGCGAGGGGAGGAAGATGGCCAGGTCCGGCTCGTGCATTTCAGGGCGAAGCGTCGAAACCAAGCGAATGGAAGGTAGAGGACGGGGGAGCAAGGTGAGGAAGGGAAGGAGGGAGGGAAGGAAGAAACAGGGAGAGGAGGCCCCAACACAGCCCAAATATAGCCTCAAGAAAACTATGACACCCTGCAAAAGACTACGATTCGAGACCCAGTCATTGAGGGAAACCGCGTGATGGCCCCAAGAAACCCCCAGAGACCACCAAAAGACGTTCAGGAAGCCTGCAGAGGCTCCCAAGAAGCCCCAATCAATCTTCGAGAGGCCCCCAAGAGCCTCCTCACGAAGGGGTCTCCGCAAAAACGAGGACGAGTCCGCAAAAAGGCAAGGATTCGCAGAGAACGGCGAGAAAGAGGAAGAAAAAAGGGAAAGAGAAAAGGGAGAAGGAGAATCATAAAGAGAACGACAGCGCCAAAACGGTGACAAGGACATGTTATATCGTGTCTTCTCTCTCTCTCATTCTCTCTCTCTCTCTCTCGCTCTCTATCACTCATTCCGCCAGTGCGGACCTTGAAGAACGAAGGTTCAGCTTGAAAAACTAAGGGGCATGGCGCGAAGCGCCAATGCAGTCTTGCATGTGTACATATCTGTATCCGCCAGTGCCTTTGGCTCACAGCTGCGCTCCTACTGCAGCCACGACTGTAGATCCCCAGGCGCCCGGTTTCCTGGGCGCTCCTGGGCGGGGCCGGGAATTTCCGGGAGCTTCTGGAGTGTGTCGAGCACGCTTCCCGAAGCCAGGAGGGTCCCAAACTGAGCCTGGAAGGACCAAGGAGGCCGCGAAAATTGCCTAAAAGAGCCTCGAATTACAACAAGTTCGCCCAAAGATTCTCAAGCAAGATGCCGTGAAGGCGGCCACAGGGGCCCGAGAATCTCCTAGGGGGCCCCAAGAATACCCCCAAAAGGGGAAAAATACGTACGCTCCTGAAGTGTTTTGCGGATTGTAGCCTTATATTATTTGTTCAACATTGAACGCTCCAAACAAGCCAGAAAAGCCCCCAATAGCCCTCCAGGACTGTCCAGGAGGCCCCACGGGGGCCCCCAAACGCCCACAAATGCCCTCAACACGGCCCAAGAGGGGCCCAAGGGGCCCAAGAGGGGGAACACGAACGGACATTTCAAGCACTCCGCCCCAAAAAGGCTGTAAGAGCCCACCAGATGCTACAGACAGGCCCCCAAGACAGTCTAAGAGGCGCCAGAGAAGCCCCCCCGAAAGCCCCCAAGACTCTTCCAAGAGTCTCCCGAGAGGCATCCCAAGATACCCTCATATGCATCTAAGAGCCAGGAACAGTGGCGGGGTGGACCGACGGCCCTTTTAAATATGTATATATGTATACACACACGCACACATATATGCATTACATACAAACATGCATGCATGCATGCACGCACGCGTATCATACACACATACATATACACATGCACGCATGCATACATACATACATACAAACAGGCAAACAGCCACACCTACCTATCTACATACATACATGCATGCATACCTATATATGTATACATGTGTATATATACATATATATATATATACATACATATATATACATATACATATAAACACATACATATATATATAGAGAGAAAGAGAGAGAGAGAGAACGAAAGGAAAGAGAGAGATTCGCGCAGCCCCCCTAACACCCATTGTACGCCTTCTTCTTTTCCACGAGGCTGGAGTCGGGCCGCTCCACACCTGTATCCCTTCCCTCTCCGCGCCTCTTTATCTTCGCTGAAGCCTTCCCCCGCATCCGCTAGCGACACATTTTCCACAAGCGCCAACGCGACAGATGCAAGCGTTTGCTTCCTCTACATAGAGGGGGAACAAGCGTGTGAGCCATCCTGTAGACGAGAAATCAACAAACCCTGCGATTTCACTTGGATTTCTGGGATGCAGATCAACGGAACCCCACATCTCATTGGGATTATTCGGATTCCTCGGATTTCATACCCTGGAGCATTGCCAACCTTGGTACTTCCAGGAGGTTCAAGGCTAAGGACCCAAGGAATCCCAATGAAATCGCAGGGTCCGTGACGCCAGTGATGCGCAAACCATACGATGTCATTAGGATTCCTGGGATTTCTGGTTAATCAACGAAACCTTGTGATTTCATTTAGGTTACCGGGATTCCTGGGTTTCATACCCCGGAGCAAAACCAACCTTGGGATCCCCAGGAAGTCCAGGGCTCAGAACCCCAAAAATCCCAATGAAATCACAAGTTCGAAACGTCGGTGATGCGCAAACCCTATGATTGCACCGGGATTCTCCTGATTTTTCGGATGCTAACCAACGAAACCTTTTGTTTTCATTGGGATTCGTAGGGTTCCTGGGATTTCAGATCCTGGAGCAAAAGCAACCATAGGATCCCCAAGAAATCCAAGGCTCAGAATCCCAGGAATGCCAATGAAGTCACAGGGTCCGCGACGCCGGTGATGCGCAAACCTTATGATTCCATTGGGATATATTGGACTTCTGTATGCTAATATACGAAACCCTGCATGCGATTTCACTTGGATTCCTAATGTTCTGGGGATTTCAAGCCCTGGAGACAAACCAACCTCGGGATCCCCAGGAAGTCCAGGGCTCATAATCCCAAGAATACCAATGGAATCGCAGATTTCGCGACGTCGGTGATGCGCAAACCCTATGATTGCAGTGGGATGTATATGATCTCGGTGACGCTAATCAACGAAACAATGCAATGTCATTTAGATTCCTAGTATTCCTGGGATTTCAAACCCTTGGGATCCCCAGGAAGTCCAGGGCTCAGAATCCGAAGAATCCCAATCAAACCACAAAGCCCGAAACTTCGGTGATGCGCAAACCCTATGATTGCACCCGGATTCCTGGAATTTCTGGGATGCTGATCAACGAAACCCTGCGATTTCAATTGGACCCCTGGGATTCCTGGGATTTCAGATCCTGGAGCAAAACCAACCTTGAGATCCCCAGGAGGGCTCAGAATCCCAGGAATCCCACGCAATCACCAGATTCGCGACGTCGGTGACGCGCAAACCCATTTCGGGATGCTAATCAGCGATTTCTTATGGATTCCGGGATTCCTCTGAGCTCATACCCTGGAGCGAAAACAAAGCACGGGGTCATAGAAGGCCAGAGCTGAAAATCCCAGAACCCCCGGACCCCAATGGAATCGCACAGTTTCGTTGATCTGCATATGAGAAATCGCAGAAATCCAAATGAAATCGTAAATTTTGCGCATCACCGACGACGCCAACCCTGCAATTTCAGTCGGCTCCTTGGAATTCTGAGCCCTCGACCTCTCGGGGATCCCAAGGTTGGTTTTCCGCCTAGGTATGAAATCCGAAGAATCCTAAGATCCCCACTGAAATCGCAAGGTTTCGTCGGTTAGCATCCCAGGAATCCCAAGAAACCCGGTGCAACCATAGGGTTTGCGCATCACCGGCGTCGCGAACCCTACGATTCCATTCGGATTCCTGCGGTTCCGAGCCCTGGACTTCCTGGGGATCCCAAGGTTAGTCCTTTTTTTTGTACAACCGCAGGCGGAAGCGCCAGCGGCGGGAGGTCGCGGGCGGGCTACGGCCGCGACTAAATTGCCGAGCGCGCGCGGGGGCCGCGGATCAGGCGGCGGGGGGGGGCAGCGCCCAGGGCGGCAG